AAGCGGTTAAGATTTGTGCCCAACGGTTGACGGACGCACAGACAATCATGCGATTCTACAAGCTGCATCGGACTTCGTAAGCTGAGCTAAAAAGAATGGCATTAATTATTACTATTTGTAATTTCAGAATCAGAATGATTGTAAATTATTGAATTATGAATTATTGTAAATATCACCACATTAATGTAAGACATTTTACTCACATACCTCTGCGCAATCAATCTCAGTTCATTCGTGAGGACATTGGCATCAGATGTGATTCCAGCTACGCTGCATGCCATGTTACTGAAATAGTAACCATACAATAGCATACGTGCCACATAAACAAACATGAACCATCACTTCTACCACTATGTTTTTCTTTATATTATTGCTATATTATTTTACGATAGAAGAAATATAATATATATCTGCTGGTCTCATCTAAAATGTAATTTACCACATTTGACAGATTTAACTCGATAATAGATACACTTTTTGAAAACTAAAAACTGCTTGTGCAGCTCATAGGTTTTGTCTGAAAGCTAACAGATACAAAAACTAAACCTACTCGTGCAGTTTGTAGATTTTGTCTGAGAAGAATCCCTCATCCAGGAGCTTATGAACATTTCGTCTTTCTGCTGCTAGAATCACGCCATCATCAGCTAAAATACCGAGGCAACTTCCAGCATGACCTATAGCTTCCATTGCATATTCAACTTGATACAATCTCCCTGCGATAAAACAGATTGTAAAAACATAAATACATACACTATTATCATAGAGTACATTGTTAGAATTTAAGATGGATGAACGTCGCTTGAAACAAATTGCAATTGAAATATATGCTTTCACCTATCATTTAAAGAAAAGGGAAAAGGCAATCTACATTTCCTTGCTATTTTGATTAACTTACCCTCGGGGGAGAATATTGTGGTTCTTGAATCATAACGTCGAGACTAGAAACAAAAAACAGAATATTAATTTTCTTGTCACAGTCTACCATAATCACTTATACACATGATCTATACAAACACACGTGCGTTACTGTATTCAATTGTTACAGCAGATCGAGACTGGTGGTGAAGATGCAGCTGACAATGAAAATTAAAAAGCCTAATTAAGGTTTTTAGTGAAGTTTTATTGCAAAACATGTATGTTTTCTTGAAATGAAACTGAAATACCTCAAATTGACAAAAATGCAAACAAGTGACCGAATGATTATGATGTTGCAAATACTATTAAAGTTGTAATAGTCTGCTTTGAAAAATTGAGTGTTGTTCCTTTTTGACTAAACATGCTAAATGTGTGATTCAAGTTATCCATCAATATGTTCAAGAACTGATATTTTGTTAGATGAAAAAAAAATCACCTAAAAAATGTCAAAATTAAGAGTATAAATGCAGAGCTAATTTTTATCCCAAAATGCTGGAAATGGCATTTCATGAAGTCTAGATTTCAAATTTTTTCCGCAAGCCAAGGTGTGTGATTTTTCACTCGCCTGCCTTTTTCAAAACACAAGGACTGATGCAGATGGCATTGGAATATCTCACAAAAGTAAACAGGGTTAGGAAAACAGTAAGTAACAGAAAGTAAATAACCAGGATTTATGAAAATTCTATTTACAAAACTGGCTTTATAATCTATACAGTCAATTTAAAAAACCTTGTAGTAGACGATGTATTTTGATATTAAGTGAGGCTGCAATGTACAGGCCATAAAAGTCGTTATAGAATAAGATTAGGATTGGGAATTATATTAACTGGTTATTATGATTAACTGTAAATTGTGGTTGTTAGTTTTCTTCAGTTTTTTTCATGTTTTGTCATGTTTTCTGGGATCATGTAGTGTATGGCTTGTTTTCAGTTTTGTATCTTTAATACCTGATTGCATCATATATTATTGGACTGTGTTGGATTGTTGTACTGTATGTATTAAATTGTAGTGTATTGTATAGCATAAGGTTGTATTGTATTTGCACTCCATTACTATATTATAGTTTATCATATTCATTATTGTATTGATATGGATGTATCATTGTATGTACGTAGAACATGATGTAATAGTAGTACGTAACTAGTATTGTAAATGTATACTATATAGCCTTTATTATAGCCTATAGGTCATACATTCATTGTTTATAATCATACCCATTTAGTAAATTACTAGTACTAGTAGTAACTAGTATGCGTACGAGTATGACATGCAGTTTGTCCTACATCCGCGTTACACGCGAATGTCTACTGCACTGGTGCCCACAGGTCTTAAGAAAGTAGAAGCACAGAAGGATAAAATCCTCAGTGATAATAAAAAGCAAGCGCCGTAGGCGCGCTGCATGCTAGGGGGGTCTGGGGGCATGGCCCCCGTGAAAATTTTTGAATGGTGGACGTCTGACTCTGGAGATGCAATCTGGTGAGTCTTGCGAGAGAGATTTAGGAACAAAATTTTTTAACCCAAAATTTACTGGAAGCACTGTGCTTCCAGTGCTTCTATCTGCGGGCGCCACTGGTCTACTGTGTCTTGACTGAATAATACTAATAACTTTGTTTCCTATTCCGATAATAACCTATTCGCGGGCAGTTTCGTATAATTTACGATGATACGGCAAAAATTGCAAGTGCTGGGGCCGATAGCTGTGTATAACATACGTGCAACAAAAGCAAAGATACCATAACTGTAATAAGTAACTGTCTGGTTTCTAGTCGATAATAAATCACAAAACTATCAAATTACTCTTTTAGTTTGTGTCACAAACAGTTTTAATGTGAGAGAAACCGGTGAAAGAAGAAACTACTCACCATGTTGGTATACGGTAGCGCCCTCAGGTGACAAAACAAGTTACTAGTTTGTTAACAAACAAGTTTATGATTTTGTTGTCATCAGCATTATGTATCTGATACCAATAAATCATGTTAGATTGCAAAATAACATAGATACCTACATTAAGTTTGAAATTAACTAAACTTTATTTATATGTCATTGTAAATCTATTCTCCGATAAGGAAATTAATTTCATGGAAGTCAATGGAATCAGTTTTTTCCTTCCATATATATGTAGGCCTATATGTATATAACACTAGCGTAAAATTCCAGATACTGTTAAAAACTTCCGTAAAATTACATATGAGTTATATTAGGTATTGGGATTTGTTTGATATTCTATAAGATACACTGTATATAAATTATTACATGATAATATGGTGTTATACAAGGCATAATTTACCTATTTTAACAATGTGATTGTTTTGGCTTCTTTCTTGATTGTGAATATGAGAGTATCATATTACAGACGAAAAAGAATGTTATTTTCGCATTAGATTATTTTTTAAACTTGGTTTGATCACTGACGCAACAAGATTGTTCTGCGTGTTTTTGCTTGGACGGGGCTGGATTTACAATAGGTTTCACACTGCCTAATTCCTATTCGAATTAATATGGAGTATGTAACTGGGCAAATGACGGAAGTGTTAAACGGGCTTCGGCAAGCGAACAAATTTTGCGATGGGGAAATACGAACAGAGGACGGTGGAGAATTCCCCATTCACCGAGCTGTTATGGCAGCATGCAGCCCGTATTTCAGAGCGCTCTTCACAAATGTGATATGTGAAACAGAAAATCGTGTTGTCACAATTCCAGATGTGACAGCCGATGTTATGTCTGCAATAATTGACTTCGCATATACAGGTAGGTTAGCGTGCTTGCGCTAAAGCATAACCACGAAACTATATTATTCCTGTTTGTTGCGTATATGTCTCAAGATAGAAATCTCATCAACTTAAACTAGACGGATAAATATGCCCGCATGTGCGCGTGCGATTAAAAGTCTTTATTGTTTTACTGAAGAATGCCATGCATATAAACGAATATTCGTAACAAAATTTTGTAATATTATAGCAAAGTTGTGAATATATACTTTATGCGTGAGATTTTTCCTAAAGCTATATTTACAACTCTTAACTAACCTATGTCACTTTCACAGGCGAGTCAAAGGTAACAGCGGAAAACGTTGAAGAGCTTCTACCAGTTGCAGACCAATTTCACGTGTTAACTCTGGTACAGAAATGCAGCGAATTCTTGAAGGGTCAACTTCGTGTTGAAAATTGTATCGGTATATACAAGTTTGCTCGCCACTTCTTTTGCCCGCATTTAACAATGGTGGCTAAGTTGTTCATTCAAAAAAAATTCGTGGCAGTTGCAACTGAAAGTATTGAATGGCTACAACTGAATGAAGACGAACTGATATCACTGATTGATAGCGACGACATTAACGCAAAGATGGAAGAGAGCGTCTTTGAAGCAATCGCGAGATGGGTCAAGTCCAACCCAGAGACGAGGAGACTTGTCATGCATAAACTATTATCGAACGTCCGCTTTGGTTTACTTCCTAGAATTTATTTTGAAGATGTGATACTCGCAAACACAAACACACAATCTAAAGAGTGCCAAGATTATTTGGGAGCATGTCACAATAGGCTAAAGGAAATAGAGGCGAACAACGGCACGGATGCAGACCAAACTGACGAACTCTTTCGGCCACGTGTTCCACACGATATTCTATTTGCCGTTGGCGGCTGGAGTGCAGGTAGTCCGACGAACTTCATCGAAACGTACGACTGTCGCGCTGACAAATGGTATTTAACCATGGCGACGGACAGGACGCCACGTGCTTATCACGGCACGGCCGTCGTTGACGGAAAACTCTACGTGATCGGAGGTTTCGACGGCACGGACTACTTTAACAGTGTCAGGTGCTTCGATCCCGCCAAGCAGACGTGGACAGAGGTTGCGCCCATGTATACGCAGAGGTGTTACGTGTCCGTGGCAGTGCTGAATGGATTCATCTACGCGCTAGGCGGTTACGACGGCCGAGTCCGTCTCGCCTCTGCGGAGAGATACGATCCGAAACACAACCAATGGACAATCATCCAGTCAATGTCGAGACAACGTAGCGACGCCAGTTGCGCGACTCTCAACGGCAAGGTATACATCGTCGGCGGATTCGACGGGCACGAAGTAACAAACACCGTCGAAGTATTTGATCCGGAGAAAAACCAATGGCAGTTAACGCACAGCATGCTCAGCAGACGTAGCGGAGTGGGCGCCACCACGTTTCAAGGTTTCATCTATAGCATCGGCGGCTTTAATGGCGTTACTAGACTCTGCTCAGGTAAGCAAAACGTGTTTCGCCGCGTCTTGATCATATCGCGGATAATTGATTAATATAAGATTCTAGACGATATTTACGCAATCCTTTCTGATAGATATATAACTAGAATGCTTTAAGCCCGGCGCACACGTGAGTTATTTAGCACGATATGTGTAATGATTGTTCATCGTACCTAATACATAATAATGATAATAGTAATAATAATAATAATTATTATTATTATTATTATAACCATAATAATATAATGTTGTACTGCATGTTTTAATTGTCAATTTTTATCCGCTTTGCAGGCGAGAAATACGATCCTAGAACGGGAGAGTGGTCGGCGATTCCGGATATGTTCAGTCCGAGAAGCAACTTCGGCATCGGCGTCGCCGACAACATGATCTTCGTCGTCGGCGGCTTTAACGGCTCGACGACGGTGCCGTACGTCGAGTGCTTTGACGGCGTCGACTGGTTCGACGCCGTCAGCATGAATCTGAACAGGTCGGCGCTGAATGCGTGCGTCGTTAACAACCTGCCGAACGCACGCGACTACTCGTTCCACGGTCAGGGCATGCAGGCGATCGGTCAGGACGGCGAGAGCTCGACGAACGGCCGAAGCGAAGACGGCTCCAGCCACCAGATGGGCGCTTCCTAACGATCGATGCCCGTGGATGCAGAGATAATCATTCTAGGGATAAACCCGAGAGTTACTAATGCAGGCGACTGGCGTGTGTAAGTGTGTACATGCGGCAGATCGACGCCCTCTTTAGCAGCTCTCCAATCTATAGCTAGCAAAGAGGTCTATTGCCGATATCAGTATATAAACATGTGCGGTAGTACGCCCAACGTGTTTGTGTATATACTAGTATATCTGCTAGATAGTTTCCATTTTCTGGGTTCACCATCGTAAAATGGTAAACTAGTTTCAGGAGCAACGGCAGCCAACGTTTAAGATCAAAGTCAGCTGTTTTGTATCAGCCTATTTATTATATAAACTTGCGTTTATACTGTTGACACGAGTGACGTGAAATCTCTCGATCCAAAGAAGCGATATCGCAAGCGTACACGAAGCTTCGGAAACAACAAAAACAAAACCTCGAAATCTTCGGCAAAGGTTGGAGCGAAAAAAGTCGAAAGACGTGCTCTACATTACGCGCGCGGCCTAGTAGCTAATAATAATCAGCGACGAACGAACGAACGTACGAACTCGCGAGTTATAGGTGCGTGTTTATGGTGCAGTCCGCGTGAGGGTGCCATTGCGGGTTACTCTCGCCTTCATTGTTGCTCTCACATAGCTATTACGGCGACCCTAAGCCGCAGATATGCGGCTTATCAGCACGTCATTCATTATTTAGACATGTGTAATTGTTTCAGTCCTAAATGACGCCCCTGCGTTGCAGGTATAGGGCCCATGTAATCTGTCGTGTAGCGTTACTGTGCTACTGCATTACCGGTGACTCCCGTGGTGACGAATGTGATCGGATTTTGCCACGACATTGCGCTATATTAATATGGTACATATGCTGCTAAACACATATTTTATATTATACATTACGTCCGAGATCGCAACACTACTATGTGTATTGGCCTGTATTTCTTGTTATTTACTATTCGTTCAGTTATCAATTCGTAAGCATCAACAAGGATAATGTAACCGCTCAGTTCTAGTATTATACCGGGACAGTTAACTAGCCTCATCAAGTTTTCACAGTTGCTTTGTCAGGCAGAACATATAAGGCCCACATAATTGAAATAAACAGTCCCGTTGGTGCATATTAGAATCCGACAATAATTCCCCCAAACTATTCCTGATAGTTAAAAGTTCTAAAATGATTATAGAACATCGTGGATGGTTAGCAATGCGCGAGTCTGTATTGTTACTCCTAAATGTCATTGTGAAGACGATATATTATTCTATATACATTATTTTCAACGAACAATAATACTCTTATCACCAAGAGCTATAAGAATACCCTTTATGTATCATTAGCTCTTGTTATCATGAACAGCTGAGCAGCATTCTGAAGGCTGCGGTGGTTCAATTGCTAGCGTGCCTCCCTCTCACTGTGGAGACTGTGAATTCAAACCCCGGCCATGGCAGTGAATCTTCTCGAGGTGCAACAACCTCAACACAAAACGACCTAACCGTGGCTCCCGTGTGGTTCGGATGACCACGTAAATTGGCGCGTGCCTATGTCCCCAGCGATGAGGACGTCTGAAATGAGAATCTGGCGGTGACTACCCTCAGTGTCATTAGACTTAGCGTGGTTATACTGGAGAATCAGAAAAGGTACGAAGTCACCACGGGACAGTATCAGGAGTGACGGACGGAACCTTTGCTAGCAGATGACACGGACTCGATGCAATGACAGGAGTGTCCCGTTCCTATAGTAAGTTAAACCATGCGCAAGGTATAGTTGGGCCTGCATGCGGTGTGGAAAGCAACAGGAAACTACGACACTATGTATCCCCTTGATACATAGCACACATCAGCAATACGCATACACGCCGTACACGCGCGCGCGCACGCACGCGCGCGCGCACGCACGCACGCATGCACGCACGCACGCACGCACGCACGCACGCACGCACGCACGCACGTCGCAATACACCCAGATCACCCACTACACGCACGCACACGCAGATGCGCCCACCCATAACACGCACGCGTGTACATGAGCACACGCAACGAGGCAACCAACACATATACACACACAAAGGGTAACGTACGCGGTTCAAGGATACGGCGATCTTCACAACGTAAGATAGGAACACGCTACTCCTGCATGCCCCCTTCCCATCTCGCGTGCACAGCTGGCGGTAAGTAGACGGACACCTAACGCCACGCGTCCCGCTGCATATCACCCGCCCATCCGCAGAACGCGTGCCAGTCTACGATTAGCGATCCATGAAAGCGAATGGCAGACTGGCTCGTGTAATTGGACGTTCCTTCGTCACATGGGTATAGCGGAAAGGCCTTACGCCCACTGCACGCTACGTTCGCATACATGTAGGCAGCGACAAAGCGCAGACGCCTCACAAAGAACCATCCGTTACAAGGGAGAGCAGAGCGCGACAGACGTAGTGGTGACACTGAGAGTACGAGAGGAGGAACGTCGGACGTCTGCACAGTGTCACCTGACGACGACATCAAGCGACGATCAGGTCGTCGGTCGTGCCGACGCACGCACACACGCTCACGCACGCACACAGCCGGGAGTAGCGTGCCAGTGAACTCGCGTCGCGGGAAGGCAGCACGGGGATCGGTGCGTGCGCTCTCTCGCTCGCTCGCTCTCCGCTCAGCAGCGCTCGCTCGCAGGCAGGCAGGGTCACGGATAGCGCACGACGCGCGAACAAAGAAGGGGCGTGTAGCGGGCACAGCGCACACACGCTCTCTCTCTCGCAGACGCACTCGCTCGTTCCCGCGCTTCTGCCATCCGTATACCTACTACCACTCGCCGCTCGACTCCCGCGCGTGAGAGGACGGCACGTGAAGAGATGGCACACTTCTATCACGACTACGAGACGAATCTAGCCGCCGAATGTCTCCTGGCGATCTCGAATGGCGGAGGTTTGCCGCCCGACTACAGACTGATGGCGACGAAGGAGGCGGTCGGCGCCGACAAGAGCCCGTACGACGCAGCCGCCCACAACAGCTCTCTGTACATGGTCGCTCGCATACTGGCGGATCTCAGCAAGATTAAGCAGGAACCCGTGCCACACGTGCACGAGGAGATCCACGTCTCTCCGATCGACCTCTCGATGCGCTCCCGCCAGAGGAGCGACGACGATGACGATGACGATGACGCCGCTGACGATGGCGCGCTGCAGCCGTGGCGCGATATTAGGGTGGAGGTGAAGTCTTCCCGGGCGCCGCCGAAGAAGCGGAGCCGAAAGCGTCTGCCCGCGACCGACGACGACGCGAAGAAAGCGCACCGGTGTTGCTACGACGGATGCGACAAGGCTTACGGCAAGAGTTCGCACCTGAAGGCACATCAGCGAACGCATACAGGTGTGTATGTGTGTGTGCGTGGGTTCGTGCATGCGTGTGTGTGTGTATATGTGCGTGCGTGCGTGTGTGTGCGTGCATGTGCGCGCGCGCGTGTGTGTGTGTGCGTGTGTGGGTGGGCGTGTGCGTGTCTGTGCGTGTCTCATGGACAAATGCCAGCCAGTATATCATTTTAGATGAATTTTAGCTTGATATGTACATTCATATGTCGTTGATGGGCGTTCGATATCGTGATGCTGTTTCTATAAGGCGTTAATGTGTAGTAATACTAATGTACATGTGGGCGATAAGTGTATGGGTAGACTCCCGCTGCTGCCCTAACCTCGATCCTTTGTGCAGGCGTCCGTCTTGACCCGCGTGCGCACACACCCACCGACAGCGTCATTACTAACCAGGTGGTGACGTCTGTGCACTGCCACTGTGCAGTGCCTGTGCATTGCCACTGTGCAGTGCCTGTGCATTGCCACTATGCAGTGCCTGTGCATTGCCACTGTGCAGTGCGTGCGTGCGTCTGTGTGGTGCGTGTGTGCGTGCGTACGCGCGCGCGTGTGTGTGTGTGTGCGTGCGTGCGTGCGTGTGTACGTACGTGTGTGTGGTGGGCGTGTACGTCAGTACGACGTACGTGTGTGTGGTGGGCGTGTACGTCAGTACGATCTACGTGTGTGTGGTGGCGTTTTCGTGTGTACTCGTGTATGTGTATGAAGATGGGGGGCGGGGTTGCGCAACGCGCTCGCGTAGCGGGTATTTCCAAGGATTTCGTCAGCACGTGTGAAAGCGTGTGCGCCGTAGTGCGTAGTTCTCGCTGTTATCTCTGCCGCGCGCACCCCCTCCGATATATAAATAGCCGATGACTAATTTATCGATCGGCGATGGTGACGATGTACTGGGTGGCATTTCTCTCCTGCTTACCGTGTCAGCCCGTCGCGTGGGTGGCTACCGGTTAGTTAGCCAGCTGTGGGCGTACGCACTCTCTCCAGTAAGTAAACGGCCACGATGTTGTCTTCCCGTGTCTTTTTTTATCATCATATAGCGCTCATATAGCGCGCGAATCACCGTAGATACGTGACGTGTGGTGTAGTGCGTATATACTGCATCCGGGGGGTGTTCCTAAGAGGCATGACCTTTGTATCTACGTGTTTGCTATGCACTCTATTCGGATAAGCTTACCAAACTCTCTAAAATAACGGTAAAACGACAGTTGTGCTGTATATGTATTATGTAAGTATGTATGTATAATGTATATGTATGTATGTATGTATATATCTATTATTACGTAGCACAGTCAGGAAGATATTGGCACTAGTAACCCTTGTATGTGCACATCATGCAGGGAGTGCTCCATCATGCGGCAACGCGATCGAACGATGACGTCACAATGGTCGACGTGGCCGCTCAGCACGCCCTCTCGTGAAACAATGACCGGAGACATGCGGGGGGGGGGAGCGGAGGGCGAGGCGAGGGGGAGGGAGCGAAGGGGGAAGGGGAGGGGAGAGTAATTTTCGCTTGGCAACAGTCGCCGCTTTTTTTTCTCCGCCGCGAATAGTCAGTCGTCTCTCTTTTTCTCTCTCTCGCGCGCGTATTGCGCGGGCTGCACGCGTCACGGCGTCTGTGCGAGGGGCCGCGTACCCTGGCGGTAGTGAACAGCGCCGACCGATCTGTGGGCCCGTTATCACCTGTATGCAAATGAGGCGCGAGCGCCGACGCGCCCGGCACGCGCCCTGGTGTTCACGCATGACTAGGCGAACGCGGTAGACAAATGTAACGGCTGGCCGTCTTATACGGTGAGGCTGGTGGTGTGGGGGTGGGGGTGTGGGTCTGCTGTACAGTGCGGGGTTTGAGTCTATTGATCACTAGCGATGCTAGGCTGACGGCCCACACAATGGCCACACCTGTCTCTCCGAGGCCGGGGCCTGCCACCGCTAGCATGCCTGCTGCAACACGCCGAAGCTTCTCAGCTGCTGGAGTGGCGGCTCGGCATGTGCTTTGTCTGGTTCTTGAACCGCGCCGTGGATGCTGCGCTGCTTGCTGCTCACGCGGTGGGTGCCGCTGCTGCTGCTACTTACTCGGTGTACCGCAGTACCGAGCGGTCCGTAGGCCTTGGACGTGTCAGGCTCAGCTAGTGGAACCCGGTGGGCGGTAGTGCTGCTGCTGCTGGCTTTTCTGCTGGCTGCCTGCTAACTCGCTACTTACTGTTACGCATAGCTGCTGCTGCTAGTTGGTGGTGGGTGAGCGGTGGCGGTAGTTGCTGTTGCTGCTACTGTGGTGGTGCTGCTGGCTAACTGTTCGCTACTGCGTGGCTGCTACTGCGTGTTGGTGGTGTGCTGCTGCTACTCGCCCTAGCTACTGTTTACGTCTACTGCTGCGCTAGTGGTTGGTCGGTGGTGGTGATGGTGGGTGGCGGTGGCGGTAAGTGGCGCATGCTGTACTACTGCTACTGGCTACAACTGTTACGGAGCCCCTACTGCTGTTGCTCAGTGTCGGTGGTTGGGCGGGTAGTGCGGCTGCTGTTGCTCGCCTCGGCTAATGCTCCTAGACTGAGCTACAGGAGCAACTGAAGGGCGTCTTTAATAGTGCTTGTACCGGGTCGGCCTCCGTGTGTTGATGTTGCGTACGAGCGTGGCCGCGCCGCTGCACTGGCACCTGCTTGCCTGCATGTTTCCGGTGTTAGCCTATAGCTCATATATATCATTTCCCCGGTGCAGAAGCGGTTGCTTTGTGACGGGCCTTAACGCGGCGTCATCAGTGCCTTTGGGCCGTCAGCGTCGGCATGTCCCAGTCGTGTCGGCCGGTGGGTGTCGCGTGCGTCAGCGAGCGCCCGAGCCGCGCCTCCCTCGCCTCTGGCGTCTGCGTCCGCCGTCCTGCCTCCCGCGGACGCCGGCACGCTTGTCCCCGCCCATCCACGATGCGTGGCTGTATGTATATAATCTTGATATATAGCTCGAATGTTTGCACAGGCGGCATGTCACTCGCGCACGCTGCATGCGCGTGTATCTATAACGGTTGGAGTTCAGGACGAACGGGATATCTCGAACTGTGTCAATGGTGGGTGGCGGGGTAGGGACTCTGGTCCAGGAGGCGGGCGTCATCATGATCGTACTTGTACGCCATGTCGAGTCGGGGCGAGACTGTCCGATTTTCTTCGCAGTAGAGGTGTTTAGCGAAGATAAGATTGGCCTGAGGGCAGCCAGTAGTAGGCAGGAAGCTAATGAACTCGAATTCCTTAGTGCGAGCCCAGAAATCTTCCCCTGCGCTCCGCTCAGTAAGACACGACAAGAAAATAAAACATCTAAAGAAAACGTTCGCCTATCAAATAGCGCGCATATGTGCTCTAAGCTTACCCCGCGTACAAATTTTGTAGCCGCAAAAGTAGTTTCCAAGCAAACTTATGTGTATATTATTTAATATTTAGCAAACCGTTCTGGATTGCTAGTGAGTGTGAGACGGCATAAAGTGAACGATAAGGGTCCGGCGCCAATTATTAAGTGTCTGGTACCGTAACATGTTTGTTAAGGACCGCCCGTTAAATAGAAGTGTTTTACTCTACTTATACTAGTAGAAACACTTGACTCGTGACTTTCTTCTCGATACAATTTTATTGCCCCAAGACACATGTACTCAGACATAGGAAGATCGAATCAAAGATGTCAATACGGATTTAGAGAATATAGAACTCGTGGCGATTTTTTTCAAAAACTGCATCCATAACGATCAACAATCCTTTGTTCGATCCCGTACCGTTGACACCCAACAATCCACACATAAGCAGTTTTTTTTCGATCGCATCGAACTAATCAGCAATGTTTCTTGGGCAAAATTGATCAGAGTGTATCTCATCGACATTTTTGTTGGCAGTCCGCTGTAGCCCAATCGACCTTCTTTCGACTGACAAGTGAACGACCGTGTTATTTTCGATCCTATAACTACATTGATGAGCTTATATCTTTAATATACCTAGCGGCCTATAGTGGATCAAGGGCTAATAATACCTATATGGTTATGAGTAGCCTTGATAGGTATCTAGAAGTAGATAATAGACCTCATTATCTACTTGCTGATAGTATATATATATGGGGGTAATTTCTGAATAAGGCACCTTTTTGATTTTTTGTTGATGTCCACGACCGGCCTCGCCATGTTTTTTATTAACTGACTTCCAGAAGCATTATATCCATTAAAAATGTAGATTGGGGATAGGCTTTCCGCGACTTGGGAAATAAACTATTCGAGCCATCTTTATTGGCAGGCACGGTTGTTATTGAGTTCTTAGCCAGAAAAATTATGCGTTCTTTTGGGCTACATTTGAGAATGTCGGCGAGTCTATGTCGCATATTAAGATTCCAGTTTCTTCGAAGTTTCGTACATGAAGACACTCCTATAACAATTGATGCTTATTTAAAAGTTAGTCGGAGGTACAATCATCCATGGAGCCAACAAACAAAAAAAATTCTGATACACTAGTTTCTAGAAAAAACAAATGAAAATATACAGGTTCCGGGCAAATCCACTCCACTCCCATAACGACCAATCGAAATGTTCGGCCCTATTGAAGGGAAGTAGAGACTAAGACATGTAGCCCTCATGTAAAAGTCAGTTTGTGTAACCGCCCATATATGTCATGTGGATCTCAGTGTTGGACACTGTCACTCACAGTTTCGTGTGATTTTCTACATCTTATTCATAAAATCGGCGTGGCTATACCGTTCTAAACTCGACACTCCATAACGTTCATTATAATATTCAATCGGCAACCATGGAAGAACTGTTCAAAGTATTGTCTATGACATGCCTACTGCTGGGGCAGGGCCCTCGAGACATAATATGACAAAGATATTTCCAAATTCTATCTCGCTGGCTGAGTGCTGAAGGTCATGTTTTGTTGTAGAAAATTTCACTCCGTAAGCTACTCCACATCCTAGTTGACGCTCTAACTGTATACGGAAGTTGGTGAGTATGTGCTTAAGAATGTCAAATTATTTGTTACAATAGTGAATTGGTCAGCGGCCCTCGGCTCTTTAGGGTCTTTATTACTTTAATATAGGATTACTAAAACAAAGTTGAATCAACATATTTGTAGCTATAGAATTCATTTCACTGGGAATGGAAATTGTTTAGTATGATGCTTCGTGTACGGAGGTTGAAAATTTGAGTATACCCTACTAAATATTTCCAACTGTTGTTTACAATTATGATGTCAGCAAGCCCCTGCTGCTCTTTAGTCTCGTCGTGCATTAATTACTCGTTAGAATCGCATGAAGGCAGACGCCTGCTGAAGAGAGCAAACTTCACCGGGTTTTTTCAGCAGCAAATGTCAACTGAGCCTTGGTAACAAAAAATTTCAATTCCGTAAATTTACCATTTCAACTCCGTAAACCAGTCAGTTTTGTCCGAATTCTAAAAAAATAAATGCTACCAAATCTAAAATCGAAAAATGACCTTCTCCAAAAAAAGACGAACCTGGATATTAAATAGGTCAATGTGTCTGTCCATTTTTAAAACTGTCATTTTTTATGTTATGGATCATCGAATCGGAAGAATCATTTTCTTTTGGAAAACGATTACGGGAGTGGAAAAGGGCCTAGAGACACCCTGGAGATTAAATGTTGCCCGTCACCATTAACAAATGGACGAATTAAGGCGATGCTCAAATTCGGCTGTTGTACTCGTCTAAGTCCTAGTCTAACCTCTGATAAAAATGTAGAGGTGTTGGGGCTTGCATATTTTTTTTCTTGAAAATAATTCAGCGCAACTTGGTTGCCGCTTATTGAGCAAGAATTACCCATATAAATAATGGAATATTTGTTTCTAGGATCCGTCACTAATCGAGGGCGTTTTGTGTGTTGGTTGTTGTTTACAGGCGAGCCGCCGTTCCTCCTGTGCACGTGGGAGGCAATGCTGAAACGAGATTCGCTCGGCTCGGACGAGCCTAGCGCGCCACTTACCGGCAGCACAGGGCGGATAAAGCGATTCCGCCTGCCGCCTCTATGGCGAGAAGGCGCTTACATTGGCGCAGCGACGCGACCTGATGAAACACCCGCGGACGCCGACATCCGCATTCGGGCCGCCGACATGATCGTGTCGGCCCGTCGCGTCGGAGCGCCGATCCGAGAAGCCGGAGATCTGGTCAGCGACTACCCACGGCTCGTCGGAAATGCGGAATTAGCTGCCGTCGCCGCTGTCGCCACGAGTTGCTGTAGATGGCAGGCGTAAGCGGAGGCGGCAGCGGGCAGCGGGGGTAAGCCCGCCAACACGTGGGCCAGTTCTGGCGCAAATGTTGCTGTTCTGGTGAGGAGATATGAATGAATTGAGGAGAGAGAGAGAGAGAGAGGAAGAGACAGAGATGAGAAGAGAGAGAGAGAGAGGAGGAGAGAGAGAGAGAGAGAGAGAGAGCGAGAGAGAGAGAAGAGGGAGGGGTAGACAGAAGGGAGTAAAGAGAGAATAAGAGAGTGAGAGAGAGAGAGAGGGATATATATATAGAGAGAGAGAGAGGGAGGGCGGTGAAAGAGGTGAGAGAGAGCGAGAGAGGCAGGAAGTGTGGTTGGGGTAGTGTGTGAGAGAAATACAGATCGGGTATATGGGAACGTGGTTGTATATATTAACGAAATATCGTCATTTGTTCAGTCAATCATAAACATGGTATGTAATTATCAAGATATTACTTGTATATTTAAGCCTCGCACTCAAAAGGTCGTAGCGCCGTATGAACAGCTAGTTACCGGCTGTGGAAAAAATATTTTCTTAACACATTTCTTTAGTCATGCAGGGTTAATGTTCGAAGCAGCACTGGATAACCGTAGAAAAACTCTGATATTATGGTGTTTTCGTCAACATATAACGTCTATAAATAAACAAATATTATGTGCGCGTCATGCAATAAAGTACTTTTTGTCATTTTGAGGTTAAGCACGGAGCAATATCTGTGTTATTGCAAACGGGAAAGTGCTGACTATATATATATCGATAGGTTAGTCGCCGTTCACATGGTGATATCAGCACCGATTAATTGTACTCAATGAGTATGTAGTAGTGAACGCGAGAAGCACACTATATTTACGTATATATAAGTATACTCGGTTCGAACTATGATAATTCGTGTTTTCAAATGAGAAAAATAACGAGCGACGTTCTGTTGCGTGAACAAAAGTTGGTGACGTAATAATTGTCGACGAATCAAACGCTCTAGTTCGCGATTTCGACGGTCGGTGTCGTGACTTAATTGTTATTTCGGTATAGGCCAACGACACCAGTTTGCGATAAGTTTTCATTTATATTAACAAGCAATGTTAGTTGGTCACGGACTTCCCGCCGTGCATTCTCGTTTCCTGTTTCGTGTAATTCGCCGACTGTAATCGTATGCGTCGGGACGTAGTCGCGGTTACCAAGGCAACGAGTCTTCATTAGACGCAGCGGGGTGGCATATCTGTAGTGGCTTCATGTACCGCAGGTGCCAACGATGATTAGTGGCTAAGACGGGTATTTTGGGGAATAGGAGCGGCGGATAGGGAAGGGAAGGGTTACGGTGGGCGGTCGATAGAAGCACGGGGTTGGGGCGCGTGCACGATACGTGTGCTGACTGATCAGCGGATGTGATTTTATTGAGCTGTGACCGTAGAGAGATTGAGCGAGGGTAGGGCGAGATGGGTGGGCTGTGCTTGCATGTTTGTTGCCAACATTCCTGGACGGAAATTGATGGCCCATGTTACAGCTTTGAACTCGCGTAAAACACGCACGCCACGCACACGCACACAGTGGTGGTGGTGGTAGTGCTGCTGTTGCTCCTGCTAATGCTTCTACTACTACAGCAGCTGAGCCGTCTTATGCTTGACCGTGCCTTTGTTTGCTACGCGTGCCGCGCCGTGCACTGCCTGCTTGCCTGCATGTTCCGGTTTACCTATAGCTCATATATACATTTCCCGGTGCGAAGCGGGTTCTTTGTGACGCCTTAACGCGGCGTCATCGTGCCTTTGCCGTCAGCTCGCATCCCAGCGTGTCGGCGGTGGGTGTGCGTGCGTCACGCCGCCGCTCCCCCTGCCGTCTGCCGTCCCCTCCTCCTCCCCGCCGCACGCTTGTCCCCGCCATCCACGATGCTGGCTGTATGTATATAATCTTGATATAGTCGATGTTTGCACAGGCGGGCATGTCACTCGCGCACGCGCGCGCGTGTATCTATAGGTAGTTCAGAGAACGGGGATATCTCGACTGTGTATGGTGGGTGGGGGGTAGACTCTGGTCCAGGAGCGGCGTATCAGTGATCGTACTTTGTACGCAGAGTCGCAGACTGTCGATTTTTTCCATTAGAGGTGTTTACGAGATAAGATTGCCTGAGGGTCAGCACTCAGCAGTAGTAGCAGGAAGCTAATGAACTCATTCCTTAGTGCGAGCCCAGAATCTCCCCTGCGTCTCCTCAGTAGACACAGAAAAATAAAATCTAAAGAAAACCTTGCCCTATCAATAGGGGCCATTGTGCTCTACTTACCCCGTACAATTTTAGCCAAAGTATTTCAACTCTTATTGTGTATTTATTTAATATTTAACCGTTCTGTTGCTGTGAGTGTGAGACGGCCATGTGGAAGATAGGTCCGCGCCAATTTATTGTGTCTGTACCTAACATGTTTTACCGTTAAATAAAGTTTTTACTTACTTATACTAGTAAAACACCTACTCGTGACTTTCTTCTCGATACATTTTATTGCCGTGTTAATAGGAAGATCGAATCAAAGATTCATACGGATTACGGATATAAACTCGTGCGATTTTTTTCTCAATCCATAACCGATCAACAATCTTTTTCGATCCGTACCCAATCCACAATTTTTTTCGATCCATAACTAATCAGCAATGTTTTGGCAAAATTATAGATTTATCTTATCGACCTTTTTTTGGACCTGTACCCAATCGACCTTTCTTCGACTGACAAGTGAACGACCGTTTATTTTCGACCTATAACTAATTGATAGCTATATCCTTTATATATACCTAGGCCTATAGTATCAAGGGCTAATAATACCTATAGGTAATAGGTAGCTCTTGATAGTATCAGAAGTAGATAATAGACCTCATTATCTACTTCTGATAGTATATATAAATAATGAATATTTTTCTCGATCCGTAACTAATCGAGCGTTTTGTTGTTGTTTGTTGTTTACAGGCGAGCGGCCGTTCCTCTGCACGTGGGAGCAATGCGTGAAGAGATTCGCTCGCTCGGACGAGCTAGCGCGCCACTACCGCACGCACACGGGCGAAAAGCGATTCGCCTGCCCTCTATGCGAGAAGCGCTTCATGCGCAGCGACCACCTGATGAAACACGCGCGCCGACATCCGCAATTTCGGCCCGACATGATCGTGTCGGCCCGTCGCGTCGGACGGCCGATCCGGAAAGCCGGATCTGTCAGCGACTACCACGGCTCGTCGGACTCGAATTCTCTGCCGTCGCCGCTGTCGCACGAGTTGCTGTAGATAGCGGCGTAAGCGAGGCGGCAGCGGCAGCGGGGGTAGCCCGCCAACACGTGCAGTTCTGGCCAAATGTTTGCTGTTCTGTGGAGGAGATATTGAATGAATGAGAGAGAGAGAGAGAGAACCAGAGAGAGGCAGAGAGAAGAAGATGAGGGCAGAGAGCGATGAATGAGAAGAGAATTGAAAAGGAGTTAGAGAGAGAGAGTTAGGAGAGGAGAAGA